AGCCCGGCCCCTCACGGCTGTGCCGCACCGACGGGTCAGCGCCGCACCTCAGCTCCGCACCCGAGGCACCCCACTGGCTCCCACGGGGGATCACGCAGCCACGTCCTCCTTTTCCCGCTGCTTGGCCAGTGTTTAACGTGTGACGGGACCGCCCCGCTCACGGCAAACTCGGAGGTCCCTCAGCTATCTCCCAGATGGGGCTTCATAGCTGAAACCACAAAGAACTTGGCATTTGGTAAGGCAAGGCTGGGAACGCCTGGGTCGGACCTACCCAGGGGCTCCGACCTGCCTGTTGGAACCTACGTTGACTTTAGTGGAAAGGGAAAAAAGCACCTGCCTTGCAGCACTCAGCCCCACAGATCTGTTCAGTGGCACAGAAGAGTGATGGTAATTTTGTTTTTTGTTTTGTTTTTTTTTTCAGGTATTTTGAAGAACTTTTAATTACAGAACTGACTTTAAAGGATCAGCTTTATGATACAAGTGTTAGGACCTTCACTTCAGGTATGAGACCACAAAAAATGAGGCCTTTCAAAGGCCACAAAATAGAATGTACACTTTTAAACTGATACCTGATGCAATTTGCTGGTTAAATTGCTTACACACAATTAATTTATTTTACAAGAGGACTACAAACGCAGTGAGAGCAACAACTTCTGCTTCACCATACTGCACACTGTGCAGACACATTCCAACTTTAGCATCCACCACTATGAAATCACTGGGGCTCACCGCTGCTCCTGCAACATTCATACGTGTTTTCTGAAACCCACATGTTCTCTTCTGTTTCACAGATTTAACAGGAACAGATCTCAAAAACGTAAGGAAAAAAAGCAGTGCACATCAGTTACATTCATACAGTCATCATTTGTATTATGTAGGAATCACTAACACGTTCCTCTCGCCACATACACGTGTGGGACCTTCTTGCTACAATTACTATCAATGACTTCCATTGTGTCACTTTATCACAAGTCAGACTATCTCAGACCTATACAAAACTTGGGAACGAACGTGGCATGAATGAAAATTAAAACCTCAGCTGTAATTTTTGTTGACTGAGAGTTGTAATTATTTCAGTATCAAACAAGTACAGAATCATATTAACTAGCATTTGAATGCAGCTTAATCAGTCATACAGTCAGAACATGATATAACCAAATAAATTATTTGCCTGACATTAGAATTTCATGAATTAACAAAGCTGTATTTGCACTGATTATGAGAGTTCTTCCTAGGATAAACTCATTTTACTTTCTTCTGCATTTTGAGTAACTCTATGGCCCCATCTACTGGATGGCTTTAACATAAAGGCTGGAGAAGAACGCTTGCATACCTGCAAGCAGCTCTACAAAAAGCAAGTTATTACAAGAACTTCTAGGCAAGTTGATCATGTACAATGAATGTGGCAGCTGAGTCTTTTTCTTACTCTGTCTATAGTAAATGGGTGGAGTTCAGCGTGCAGCGTGGTGAGGTTCCATTCGAGATTGTTTCTAACGAACGTGCCTCAATTTTCCATGTTTCTGTTATTCTTGTTATGTGGTTATAAGCCAGACATCATCTGTCAAAACAGGAGTTTGTTTATTCTTCGTTGCAGAATTTTGAAATAAGTCCTCTAAACTTAGGTGTTTATTTCATTTGCTCTTTTAACACCGAAACTGAAATAAGGACCTGTTTAAATTAGCCCTTGTTAAACTTGCAATGTGAGTCAGACCTTGTTTCAGAGAGCATATTTTATTGAGCTACTCAGGGGAAAAAAGTCTGATGAAGTCTTTTTTCATTTGAATTTACTGATTAAAGGTACTCATTGAAATTGGCTACTAGTCTGATCTATGAACTCCTAGTGGGCTTCAGGTTCTGCTTGAAACAAGCCTGCCTGTCTCTTCAGCCTTCTCTGGACTGGAGTCCTTGGTATTTATGAGTCGGTGATCAAAGAGTCCCAGGAGAGTCCTACTGCACTCTTTGCAATTTTACTATTATTGCAGATATAGTATTATACTTAATTATTACTATTAAGGACATTTTCCATCTTTTGCAAGCACACATAGTATGTTGTGAAAAGAAAGAAGGAAGAGACTAAATAATTTCTCTTTGCAAAATGTTTTGAAACAAGAGTGTTTAGTGGCATAGTTTATGTCTGCCTCTTGAGCTAACATGTATTATACCAACATAAGCAGGCTTGGTAATGTAATTTTATTTGTACTAGAGGTTTTGTTGATGTTGCTACATCAATTACGAATATAAAATCACATCCCTAATTGCTATAGCTATGCAACAATTTTTTCAATCTAGTTTTGCTAGTTTTAAAGTTCAGTTATATATCATTAATTTAGTTTTTTAAAAATGACACCTTTACCCTATTTAGTCTTTGGTCCTGTTTTCAAGGAATCGCATACACACACGCAACACCTTGAGTGAAATACTTAAACAGCTGTCATATTCATACACTGTTTTATGATATTGACTTGTACCGGCTGTTGTTTGTTATATGAAAATTATAAACCATGGTGATGATTTTTGGTTTAGTTTGAAAACGAGAAAGATTCTTAAGAGATCATTATTCAGCAGAGATTAGATGAGGAGTTGCAAAGTATTCCCTCCTCCATCTCCCAAGAGCTGTATTTACTCTCCCAGCCTTCACCAGAAGTCTATTTTAGTGTGATTCTTCCTTGTTATCCAGTACAACAAAGACACAATCAGCAGGATTCTCACTGTAGCTCATTAGACCAGATGCTGGTTATGGCCTGTGCTGGTAGCTCAACTTGAACAAACAGCTAGAGGGCTAAATCAAATCCCTTCTGCATCATCTCCATTAGCTCATTGCCTTCAGATAACAGCAAACCTAATCAGGAGCTATTTGGGCAAATTAAATTAATGTTTGGGACCCAGTCTCACTAAGAATAAAGACCAGTCCCCAAATATCTATTTAAGTAATTACTGATTTTTATTGTTTGGGTTTTTTTGTGGGGTTTTGTTTTGTGGGTTTTTTTTAAATCCAAACCCCATTATGTTAGCAGCGTATTTAATTTGCTTGTGTAGATAAGGGGAACAAATATCGCCGTGAAGGAGGGAGGTGGCCTGCAGAGGGCAATCTTGTTCAACGAATATCCTCGTTTTTTATGTGGTGGCTACTCTAAGTGAAGGATGGTTTATCGAAAAGGCAATACCCTATCAGCCATACTGGGTTTTCTCACATACACAGCGTGGTTCAGATGCAGCTCTTTAGCTTTCTGGTAATTTGAGATTTAAAAAAAAAAAAATCTATGTATGCAATGCAAAGCTCTCAAAAGGTAGAACAGGGTAAGGGATGTGGTATTTTTCCAACTGACAAGTGGATGACAGTCAGGTTTTCTCAGTTTTGGTTCTGTGCTGCAATTCCTGGACCCCACAGCCTCAGCACACTATCACTGCCCTGGGACTTTCATGTGAAGTTGGACAAATCTGTATTTCTCCACCTTCTAAAACACTGAGAATTCCAAGCGAAAAACATTTTTTTTTTTTTTAATAACACACTATGGGAGTCACGGCTACTTTGAAATTAAAACCATGTATAGCTTGTTTTACATAAGGCTGAGTGTAAAATCTTTCAGAAATAAGTATTTTACATCTTTTTTTTTTTTTTTTTTAAAAAAAAAAAAGCTACTACACGTTACCTCCCTCTAGGATTTTAACTTCACGATGTGGTGTTAATCCAAAAGCTTTCCTGCCTCTCCTCCCTTTCCTTTCAGGAAACAATCCTGCTTTTTCCCTGGATCAAGGCTGGAGGTAAATATTTTGTTGTATATTTAGGAAATTTACCAAAGCCTGTTCTCAAGTTCACATTCTCAGAGACAAAGATGCATCATCCAGTTCCCCCAGCTTCTCTCCAGTGGTGTATTTTCTGTCAGTGGATTCTAGATTTGTAAAGAAACGATGAAATCATTATTATACTGCAGAATATTGTGAGTCTTGACTCAACTTTCCTGCATGAGGTTAATTATTAAATATACCTTATCCACTGGAAGGTAGAATCCTCTGCTTGAATCTCACAGGAAAACTTAAGAAGAAATAAAAAACTCCCTGAATCTTAAATTACAGGAATTGTAGATAGTTTTCCCATGAATGGGATGCAACTGCTATATATATACTGCTGTGTAAAGAGCAAGCTCAAAATGGAAAATAAGGTATGAACTCAGTAATTCAGATTTACAGCAAACTAACATATGAGAAGTTGGGAACTTTTCTATCATCTATCATCCTTTTCTATCAAAGGAAAATGGCAAATAACTGGTTCACATTTAAGCTGGCAATAAAGAATATATTAATTGGCCGAACATCTCTTTACATTAGAGGCTATTTAAAGAAGTTTATTTCATAGGACATCTTTTGTGAATTTGGACAGTAGTAAAACACAATTGTCCAATTAAACCAGGAATGCTTTCTGAGTTACCATGATACTGTTTTTTCTCTGTAGTACACAGAAGGACATTCAGATTACATAT